GGATAAAGCGAAATTTAGCTCCTCTTCCTTAACCTTTCTTCAGGTCAACAGTGAGAACACCACCGTTGGTAGGAAAAAAACTCCAGACTGCTGTCCTGAATCACCCTTTAGCTTTCCAGACAAGTCAATACATGCAAGGACTACAAACCACAGAAAAAGAACTACAAAAAAAATTAATTTATAACAATGAAGCCAACAGCTGAAGCTCTCCATTATAAAACCTAACACATAAAAGTGGGCACAGAGAACATGCAACAAGATAAAGTATTTTTGTCCAATTCTTTGAAATTGTCTGTTTGCATATATCCAAATATACAAGGGATTGTGGGAATCCATATAAGAGTTCAGCTCCAGATAGGACGTTCACTATTTACTGTGAACTCACTATCCACTGCTGAAACATGGTGGCAGCATCATGCTACGGGAATACTTTTCTTCAGCTGGGGTAAGAATGCTGAGGTAAACAGGGGACAGTCCTGGAAGAAAACCTGGTGGTTTCCTTATTCTAGGTGTTTAACTCACAATCTAGCAACAAACGGAAAGGGTGAATTTAAAGATCACACTTTCTATATCTTTGTTAAAAATAGTTGGAAATCATTACACATGTATATACAAATTATTTGCACTTCCTGATAGAAACTTAACCCAGAGCGACTTTCCTAAAGACTGATCAGATTTTTTTTTTTTGTTAATCTTGTATTAACACAAAGAACAAAAAAGAACAAGAATTTCTCCACATTTTTCTTTATTGGAGAACATTTCAGCACCTTTCTACCGCTGCTCCTGATGGGATTTACCCAGTGATTTGAAGGAGATGTTTGCTGTGGATTTCAGAAGGTACTCAAGCTCTAACAGATCATTCCCTGCTTGCTCGTTCTCCTTGGCGCCCAATAAAACATCGGACAGATCAAAACCTCCACTTCCTTCAGTCTCTGAAAATAAATTTGACATTTCTATTTCATTGTCTGCCTCTTCCTTTCTCTCAACACTGTCCCCAGCTTTCTTTTCGTCAGTAACATTAGCTTGAGGACTTCTGCTCATATTCTTGACCTCATCTTTTGAGCTCAAGCCAATGGTGGCGTTGGGGAAACTATCCTGATGATGACCCAGAGCTCTGACAGAGCTGAACGAAGCACTTCCCACAATGTCTGCATATGTGACAGCTTTCACTCTAGGCAGCCTGAGTATGACTGAGCTGTGTGTTGCATTTCTGACAACAGGTCTAATGAGGGTTCTGGTGCCATTTTGTGTCCCCATAACTCGTTTGCCAATTACCACGCTTCTGGTGGCGGTCTTGAACCATACCCCCTCTTCTCTGGCAGATGCTCTCGGCCATGGCGGCGGGTTCAGGCCATCTCTGGGGGGCCCTGCTGTTTTCAGATAAGATGAGGAGGCTATCTTAGAGACGGCCAGTGGACTTTTCTCAGAATAGATCAAGCTAGTCTTCCTGGGAATAGGCCCGGTTCTGTTTTTACTAGGCGGAAATCCTTGAAGGCTCTGGTATTCGTTGGTATGATTGTATTTAAATCTTGAGACTGATCCATCTTCCCTTACAATATTTGGAGGAGTTTTAAAGTTCCCACTGTTTAGCTCTTTGGTTGGGTTGACTTTGCTATCATCTGGCTCATTCTCGCCCCTCTGATTAATCCTGACACGTTTGGCTCTTGAGATCTCAGAGCTCCTGAGTTCAAATCCTTTGAAGCTCGGTTTGGGTATGATGAGTGTTTCTGAGCTCTGAGGTGAAGCGTTGGCTCCCTCAAGTGGTTGAATGCCAAACCCTGTTAGACCGAAAGTTCCCTTGTAAAGCCTAAATCTGTTCTCTGTGGCATTTCTGTCTTCAATCGCCCCAGATTCAGCCTGCCGACTGTTGGCCGTTGCTGTGAAGGGTTGAGCGGTAGATGTAAAGCTGATTTGGGTCAAAGGGGAACTTGTATTCACTCTATCTGGTTTAGACAGTGTGCTCGTAACCAAGACTCTTCTCTGGCCAAAGCTATACTTTTGTGATAAATAAGGGTAAGAGTTTGAAAATCTAAACCTTAAGTCCTTTCCTTTATCCATGCTTGATTGTATTCTGTCTGCAGAAGAGGGTCCAGAGGTCTCCTCATCAGGTTCCCTTCTTGAGTTCCTGAACCCATCTAGACGATGGATCCATTTAACAGATTGCTTCAGTTTGTTGTCTCGTGTCAGCTCTCCTGAAGTTGAATTGACCCGGTTCAGTGGAGCAAATGTCTTTCTGCTCTCCTGAGAATGTGACTGAACAGCAGAGTGAAGACTTGGCCATTTCTTGTCTTCTGCTGAAGCAGGATGCAGAAAACTGGGTGTAGGAGTTACAACCTTTGGTGAGGTGGGGTATAATATGACCCGAGGCCTACTAAAACCTATTGGAGCTTCAGATTCCTGCTTGTTTGGGTCTGTTCTGGTAAAGAAATTCAATTTAGAAACGGTTCTAGAGCCAACTTGGCCACCAGGCCGGCTCTGCTTGTGCACCCAACTTATAGGATCAGTCTCTCCTCCATCAATTTGTCCACTAATTGTCAAGCTATAAACTTGAGCCGGAGACTCTTTAAAGTGATGCGTTTGGATGCGTTTGTGTTCCATCATCTTGTCATTGCTCACAGAGTGTTGAATCTGTGGGAATTCTGAAACAAATGTTTTTTGACGGCTCGGGTTTTGTCTGATAACACTTAAACTGTTGCTGAGGGATTCTGCAGGACCCTGAGTCAAACTTGTGAAATCCAGAATTTTTCCCGGTTGCATCTTACTTGCGCCATTCTGGACTCTGACCGTAGAAAACGGTTTTGTTTCCTTAAAGTCATTGCCATGCCTTTCTGCGGTTGGAGAGAGAGCACTTTGGAGTTCATCACTATGCGATGGTAAAAGAGAATATAAATGTCCTGCAGATGTATCCTTATTCACCTTTGATAACTTCCAGATCTGTCTTCCACTGTCAGATTTCTGTCGATGTTTAAGCAAATTCATATCAGAGTTGTACAAAGTTCCAGTCTCTTCTTTTTTTAGAAGACTGCTTTGAGGAATCCTGTATCTATCAAAGCTTTGACCTTCATACGGGGAATGGGTGGTGAAAATGCTGCTTGCTGGCCTCATTCCAGCCCCCTGTACTTTGGTTTGTCTAATTTGGGGCCATGTCTTATCAAAGCTGTTCTGACTGTAACTAAAGCTGCCTCCTGTCAACAGAACAGGATGGGACTGATGGGCGTCTGCTGGTGCTAGGACTTCATTTTCTTCATACAACAGACCAGCTGAGGAAGGAACCTGTTGTGCCGTATTCTGTCGTCTCAGGATGCTGTACTTCACTCTCTTTTGGGTTATGGGTACTGCTGGACCAGCTGAAAATAAAGGTTGAATTACAAAAAAAAAGAAAAATAGAAATTCATCAGTATAGAGAATTGATAGTTAAATAAAATGTAATCCAACATACTTTGTGTATATATATATATATATATATATATATATATA